AAAAAGTCTCTAAAAGAAAAAAGAGTGATATATATATATATATATATATTACTAGTGATGTAGTTAAAATAATTCTAAATTTAAAAATGACCTTAAACTTACCTCACTTAATTTCTAAATTAATTAAACCTACTATGAATAATTAATAACTAAACATATATATGACATTCATAAATTAATATTTTAATACCCTTATTAAGCCATAGTTCAGTCATCTAAGCCACACATACCTACCCTTCTCCCTCCCACCAAACGAATTCCCTCGCTCTTTTCTCTTCTTCTGCTTGTTGCTCCTCTTTTTCACAGCAAACAAAATTGAGCCTTTTGTATACAATAAAAGGGCACCTTCACTATGGGCATTGTCGTCTTCCTTCTTCATGTGAGAAGTTTGCCTTGCTCACGACATCATCTTACCGCTTCACAGGCTTCAACTTATTGCCTTAACTTGCACAAATTGAACGTAAGGATTGCTCAGTTACATCTTCCAACAAAAGAGATCGTTGACTCCCTTTTTCTCTAGTGCACGCGTTCTGACAAGTTTTAGCCTCGTCTCCTTTTTCCATCGACTCCTCTTCCTTCTTGCTTGAAAGCAAAGTCCTCGCTTGAAAGCAAGGTATTTTCCTCCTCTTCCTCTTCCTCTCTGCTTGTAGCACCATGGACCTTCAACAAGTTATGAAAGGTAAGTCATTCACCTCCTTTCTTCCTCAGTTTGCTGCTCGCGACAGTCGAAAGAGCCGCTCTTTTCCTTCTTCTTACTTTGCTTTCTCTTATACTTTTTCTCTCACTCCTCTCCTCTCTCGCTCGCTTGCTCTGTCTGTCGCTTAGCTCCTTCCTTCGGCTCGAAGGAAACGAGAGAATTAATCCTTAATCCTATTTTCCTGAGAGCATCACATCTGTTTTGAATAGGTGTTGCAAGGGGGATTAAATTTCATTTTATTTATTTTATTTTATTGTTGTTACAATCTCCTCTGCTTATATTCCAACACAAGAAATATCTCTAAATTTTCTTTAAAAGGTTTATATCATTCTTTAAGATGGAAAGTGGGAACAATAAAATAAAAGCTAGAATAAGATAACTAAACTTCCCCTATCAACAGAAACAAAATAATATCACATCTGCAGTAAGATAACATAACAACAACACAACACACATCCTCTGAAAAATAAATACGCAAGAATGACACTCAAAGAATATGCAATAAAAAAGAACACTCATCAATCTCTAGTAGCATCAACATCAACAAAAGTTCTAAATGCCATCACCGATTCTATCAAAACTAAATTTGGGCTTCTTCTCATTAAATCCTTATAATTGATCTACATGCTCTCCTTCATCAATACTCTTTCTCTTGTACATCTCCTTATACTTATAAATAACCTGAAAATCAATCTTTACATGTCTAACCAACTCCACCAACACTGAGTAGAAATCATTCTCCAAAGGCACCAATCGTTGCCTGATCGAATCTTTTAATCTCAAAAGGAAGTTGTAGCACTTTTCTTCTGCAATAACAATCAACCGTGACGTCTATATTGACAATGTTGTGAATTCTTCTTCGTATTGCTTGACTATCTTTTCTACCATACCAACTTGCTGAACTTGTCATATATCTGTCTTCGTGCAAATAAGGGTACAAACAATTCTCTAAGAAACTCAACAAAATCCTCCCAATATAGCATCGTGTCGGGTATGTCCCCTAGCTTGTCCTAATGATGCCCACACCACTACCTTTCGACTTCTCCATCTATAACAAATATAGCTAATGGTTCCCTTCTTTCATCTGTATATTTCATATTGTCTAGTATATTTTCTATCATCATCGGCCAATTTTACGCTTTCCCTTGAACAAAGGTGGATGCCGATCTTGAAATAACTTGAAATATCTTTAAATACTTATCCACAACAACTGCCTCACCCCCACTAAGTTGTGGTATGAACTCTTGAATCAACTGTATCATCCCTCCAATCATCTGGGTCAGGGCATTCGTGTTCACATCTATTGAAGGTGGTACTTTATTTTTATCACATTCCCTTCTTCAATCTCAAGTGTATCCATTTGCTTGAATTAAAATAATAACTTAATTGGTGTTAAATTTTTGAGTTTATTTATTAAAAATTTTAGTTGTAATTATTCTATTAGCTCTTTCATTAATATTACATTAAATATTCCTAAACCTTGCTTAGAAACCACTTTTGTCAAGACCTAACACTGGGCTCGATATTTAATAAGGCAAGAACAGACGGTCATACGGTGAAATTTTTTTTATATTTCTAATTTTATCACTAACACTTTAATATAAGTAAATTTAATTGAAAGCACCACTAAAGGAAACATTTTATTAACAAATAAGCGTTATTTTTTACCTCTTCTTTTCTACATATTAGCTTATCTAGTATTCATCTTATTTAAAAGCTTAAACATGAAAAATATAAAAACAACAATGGGCTAACTAAAGCCAGTGACTGCTCATACTCCTAAACTACAATAACGTAATAAAAAGAGAACAATGTGCATGTTATTCATAGATATTATAAATCATTATAAATGCAGTAAACATTTTACTTTTTTAGATATGATTTTTCATAATAGTTTATAACACTAAATGTGTTTTACTCTATCGGTAAAATGTCTATATCATTATATATATATATAATCGTCTAAGATTGTGTCAATGAAAACACATCAATATTAATAATCTTTTCTATTTAAGCGTACGTGTACCTTAACGTTCCCTTACTAATATCATAAAGGGGCAAACTCCACCATAGTCAAGCATACAATGAAAATCACTATTTAATAATAATTATTTCGTTCTCATTTATATGATAGTTAATATATTTGTATAATATTCAATATCTATGATAATCTAAACACTGCCGAGTAAAAATATCATTTATACAATATGAACAAAAATTCAAGAATCATAAATCATGAGTTTTTAACGATTTTGTAATAGTAACAGTAAATGCATTCAGTCAGAAAGAAGAAAAAATATTAGTAAAGCTTAATAACATGAGTATCCATGGCAATACAATATAACTTTCCTTTAGATTTTCAATCCTTTATTTCGAATTTGTTTGCTTTAATCTAAAACCTATAAAAAAATTTACAATAATTAATAAAATATTTAAGTGGTCATTTTATGCATATATCAAGGCCCAAATATTTGATTTAATATATACTAATTCATTCAAATCTTTAACATTTTAATTTATATTTATTTTATAGTTATATTTATTTAATATTGTATATATATATATATATATATATATATATTGCTTCGAATGTAGTTAAAATATTCCTAAATTAAAAATTTACCTTAAACCTACCTCACTTAATTTCCAATTTAATTAAACCTACTATTAAAAATTAATAATTAAAGAAATATATGAAATTCATAGATTAATGTTTTTAAAAGCCTTACCTTTATTAAGCCATAGCTCGGCCTTCTAAGCCACACACGCCTGCGCTTCTCCTTCCCACCGAACGGAATCTCCCTCCCACTTCTTCTGCTCGATGCTCCTCTTTCTTCACACCGAACAAAATCGAGCCTCATGTACGCAATAAAACGCACATTCACTATGGGCGTCGTCGTCTTCCTTGTTCGCGTGAGACGTCTCTCCTTGCGACATCATCTTTCCACTTCGCAGGCTTCAACTTGTTGTTGCCTTCATCTGCACAAATCAAACACAAGGATTGCTCGATTCCTTCTTCCGGCAAGTTGCGTTGCTCCTTCCTTGGTGTCATCTCCATTCTTGTGCAGGCAATACCATTGGTTTTTGCCTCGTCTCCTTTCTCCCTCAACTCTTTTGCCTCGTCTCCTTTCTCCCTCTTCCTCTCTGCACGTAGCGCCCAGGATCGTCAGTGACACATGAAAGGTAAGTCGTCTGCCTCTTTTTTTCCTGTCTGCTGCTCGCGGCAGTCGAAAGAGCATCTCATCTTCATCTTCTTCCGTTGCTTTCTTCGAACAAAATGAGAGAATAAATACTGCTTTTTTATTTCCCGAGATGAGCATCGCACATTTTCTGTCCGGACATCTGATCTATCTCTAGATCTACCTCTGCGTGCGATGCAGGTTATTCATGAGTTATTTTTATATTATTTTCGGATTATTTTCAATAATCCCGAAAATAACCTAAAAATAAAGACCGCGGATTATTTCTGGATTATTTCGCGATTATTAAAAATAACCCAGAAATAACATGAAAATAACTCAGAAATACCCTGCGCCGCACGTAAAACTGCGTCAGGAGTCCGCACAGAAAAATTTTTGGTCATGAGGGGGAATAAATTTCATTATATTTATTTTATAATTTGGTTATTACTAAAAAGATTGATGCTTATTTTTTTTAATATTCTACAATATTCTATTTAATCTTAAGTAAAAAATTTTAGAGTATTTATATTAAATGAGAATATTCCATAATAATTAATTAGGAATTATCTAGAGTATGTTTTTCTAGAAATAAATATAAGAGTTTAGAAGTATCAAGATTTAGTCACATATACCAATTTAGCTATAAACAGGCATAATTATGTTGTTGTCATATGAGCTAGAAACTATTCAGCAATGTGTAGTAACAAAATTCTCCCTCTTTTCATAAAAAAATTCTAATAATTGATATCAGAGCTTCATTCGATTATCGCAGCGCATTGTATAATTTCAATATATCTACAATTGTTGATTTCCTCATTTGTTCAAATTACAATAGTGGAGAAAATTATGATTTTTGGTCCATCAAAATGAAGACCCATTTTCGCCCCCAAAGTATGGAAGAAGGTTGAAGAAGGATTCAATGTTCCGAAAAATAATTTGAATCTTTCAACTAATCAAATAAAGGCATTTGAAAAATAATAATAAAAAAAAGAGCATTATTCTTTTTTTATAACAAATGAGAGATGATATCTTTTCTCGAATCATGGGCACATCAACTGCAAAACAAACATTAGACACGATATTGGAGGAGTTTCAAGGGACTAAGGTACGCTCCATCTAATTATAAAATCTTAAACAATAAGGCAAAAGGACTGCCAAAAGTATTACATGTGATAAATTTTTGTGCTTCAGCTAATTTTTTACCAAATGAATGGTCTATCACCATTAATAAGCACCAAGGAAAAGAAAGCAGCAACAAAAAAATAAACATATTCAGGTAGAATCACTTTAATTCACCAACTAATGAGCAAATTGAAGTAGGTATCATCTTCTAACATTAGTATCTGGAAACTCAAGAAGAACAGAGCAATGGAGAGCTGCATGGATCAAACAACTACAAAAGCCTCAAAAACTAAACTCACCCTCAACATTTTCCCATGCCTCAATGGAATCACCTGTAACAGCTTCCCTCATCTCTTCTAAAACATTCTTGGCTTCCTTCACATTTGAGTTCTTAATCAAGCCATGGACCAATCCTTTCACAGCATGAAATGGAGGTGCCCATTTCTTACTCAAGCACAGGTTGCAGATCTCCAAAGCCGAATGAAATTCTCCTTTCTCAACCAAACAATTGAGCAAAACTGCATAAGTTGCAGAATTTGCAGAGGCTGCACTGCCATACTTGCTCTTTAATTCCTGCATCCTCCTGAAAATCCTCATGGCTGCACAGGCATTCCCTTCATTGCAAAACCCAAAAATTAAACTATTAAAGCTAAAAAAATTTGGGGAAATGCCCTTTGAAGTCATCACATCCAAAAGTTCCTCCGCTTCAACGCTCCTTCCTTTATCGCAAAGCCCAGCTATTCTGCAGTTGTAAGTCGACACATTAGCATCCAGCTTCTTTTTCGACAATTCCTTCAGAAGCTCCTCAAAGCCTTCCTCATTCTTCTGTTTCAAATACCCATTCAAAACCATATTATAAGAAATGATATCAGGCAATATATCTCTCTTAGGCAATTCGTCGAGCATGCTCCGGGCGGCTTCAGTTTTGCCATCTTCACAAAGCGATCTAAGAAGAATATTGCAAGAGGCTATCCCCGGGGCGACCCCATGCACCAGCTCAGCTTTCTGGAATGTTTCAAGAACGCGCGCGTGCTGACCGCACGCGCGGAAGGCGTTGAGGAGAGCGCAGAGCGAGCGCTCCGAACGGCGAAGATTGATGCGGTCAAAGGTTGAAGCAGCGTGATCCGGCATGGAAGCTCTTCCGTAGAGGGAGATAATGCGCATGAGGAAGCCCTCTGATTTGGGGGTGGAGGGATCGGTGACCTGCTGTTCGAGGAGGAGCTCAATTAGGTCGGGACGGCGAGAACGAACAAGCTTTTGGATTGCGATCTTGTAGATGACGCGGTCTCCATAAAAGAGCGGGGTGGTGGCCGCAGATTTGAAGAGCTCGGCAAGGCGGCTAGGGTTGCATTCTTCGCGGATGGTGGATTTGATACGGGCGATGGAGGCGGCGTCAAGGATGGTGGAGCGGGGAGAGGGATCAGTGGTGGCGGTGGCATTGGAGAAGAGAGGGAGAGAAGAGGTGATTTTAGGGCTTTTTCGCAGTGTAGTTACCGCCATGGAGGGGAAATGAGCAATTTTCTGGAGCAGGGATTCTGCAGAAGTTGTGTGGAGTTGATTAGTGGACCAATTATAGAAGGGAATTTTAACTCATCTATTATAATATTCCCCAATATTCATTTATTTAAGGGCAAAATTTTAAAAATAGATTTCTTTTAAAATTTAATTCTCATAAATAAAATCCGATAAAATTTATTTTTTAAAATAGATAAAATCACCACGTTGCGTGATGGTTTCTACCACATAGAAATCGCCACTTCGAACCATGATTTTCGTGGCCACGTGGAACTGCGATCTCCATACATGAACATCTTCGTGATTTTTTTTTTAACATCCGTAACATTCGATTCCTACGCATTTAACATTTCAAAGATGTTCTTCCAACATCATTTCTAGTACATAAAGTTCAATCATTATACTTGAAATAAAAAAAAAAAAAAAACATCAATTAAGTGTGACAATACCAAAAAGTTGTTTAAACGAAAAATTGAAATAAGGATGTTTGAATTCTAATTTTTTTTTTCAATTTAATAGGCATAAAATAAGTAGAAAATTATATCAAGATTTAATAGAAAAACTAAAGTCTTACATAAGTTGTGTGGAATGTATGTAAATCAAAGAGTAGGCAATCATGGTGTATTACTAAATTAGTACTTTACATATTGTAGTAAATTGATCAATTTTATTTTTTGAGGATTTATATACATGCTACTCAATTCTATTTATTTACATGTGGAACATATGAATTTCAATTTTTACATTTAACTTACCTATTCCTGGATAGACTCAATATGCATACATGTTGGGATCTTGATGAGCTGCATAAATGTTGGAATATTGATGAGCTTGACCATATTCTTCTTATAAAACATTGTTTTGTAGTTATTTTAGACCATCATTTTTACTTGGCTTTAAAATCTGCTATTTATGAAACAACTTTTAAATAATATCTGTGAGAAAATATAAGTTGAACCAAACAAAGTCAATCAAATGTTTGAATTTATTGAAACACATCACCTATGAATACGGGAGAGACATTGATACTAATGTGTACATCATCTTCATAGAGGTATAGCATTTATCCTTGGTGTGTAATGTGTAGGTGCACAAACAGGTCGATCTCTCAAATGATCTTGATCATTTTCCTATAAATGTTGAGGCATGTTGAGGTTGTGACACCTGGTCGGATTGTGTTATGGTTTGTACTTGTTGAGATGGAATAGAGGAAGACATCTAGAAATGACCAGTATAAGGTGTTCATACTTGAAAAAGTATGCCAACCATCCAAAATGGAGGAGTATTGCGATAAACTGAGAGTGTCAATGGCACCTCATGATGCGGTACAATAAATGGTGTGCTCATTTATGTACGTGTATCTTGTGACCCACGAGCGTCTTGATATCCAAATGTAGTCCGTGATCCACCTGCGTTGTGAAAAGTTGATGAACTTGGATCAATAGAAG